GATCGTAAGTCGGCTGGCTGTCTAATGAATAGACCGAGATTTATAGATTTTAAAGCGAACGAAAAAAAATCAAACAACGAATACATACCGTCTTTTGGAAACACGTACATTTTTGCAGTTTTGTTAGTTTCTTTGCAAGATGCAACATAACAAGAAAACACCATTTTTACAGTTAATAAATAATAAAACTATTTCTGACTATGATATTTAAAATTTAGATAGATAGAAAATTAAAAAACAAACGAGTATTTGCAAACGCAGGCCCAAATTCAATAAAAATCAAAATTTTTCCTGCAAAAATCAGCCTTTTTTCACTGAAAAGGTATTTTTTGATTTATCAGCCATCATTGTCAAGTTGACAATATACAGGGTGTTTTCGAATTAGTCTAAAAAATTATGGTGTGATTCCTCATGTGTTCTTAAAACAATTTTTATATAACCATTGGGTCTAAAGTACTTCCTTTCTGATCTACAGGGTGTTAAAAATTAAAAAAAAATAGATTTTTTTGCTTAACATAAATGGTACACCACTGCTTTTTTAAAGAAAATATATTTTTTTCTTGACTGGCCATCCTTTTTCAACAAAATTGATCTTTTGCGTTTTTCTTGTTCATCAAACGGTTGTCGAGAAAAAAATAAATATACTTATTAAGAGCGCGCCTTAATTCGTTTTCTAACGATTTTATATTTTTTAGATTAATTAGGAAACACCCTGTATATGCATATCACAGGCAACCAAATAAACTAGCAACCTCTAAAAATGATTTTTCCTACCACTAGCGACATACCGTGTTTTTGGTGTGTACTAAATTATTTTATCAAAATTTCACCATATAAGTTTCCAGGCAATGATAATGGGTTATGAAATTCAAGTAACATTGACATTTTTCATTGTTACATCCGTCAGTTATCAACTTTTGACTATTAGTTACTTAGAAATTGTGATGTTGCCAATATGTGCTCAACGCGTATCCAGAACACGATTCGCATGGCAACGAGAATACCAAAATCGACTGCCTTGCGTTTCGCTGATCGAATACTTACGCTCACCGCTTTGAAAGCGTAACGTTTTTATTCATTGGTCTGGTAACAAGGTTGGAGGTTGGTACAGTATCAAGTTTTTTGTGATTTTATTAGACGCGTATGGCACAGGGCCCGAATTCTGTAACTTAGAAAACGCTAAGCGCTTTTAGACGATCAGCGTATATGACATTAGTTTTCGCTTAGCGCGTACTTAACTACCGATTTGGATATTATCATCTAACGCGCTTAGCGTCTTTATTGCGCTAAGCGATTTGAAAACGGGATCGTTTTGCTTTTGTGTCACGGCCTTGAATTATTATTTCCAACGCGAGTAAAGAAGTTTAACCTCAAAAAGTGGCGTTTTTGCATATTAAAGCAGACTAAAATGGTAGACTCGAATATAGCCTACTTTAATATGCAAGAAATGAATATAATAAAAAAGTGCCTTTCTTGCATATTAAAGTAGACTGAAGTCCAAATATGATGCACCAGAAATCTTAAAAAAGCATTTTTTTGAGTTGTGGCGGTATTGCATAAGACCATCGATATATTATCTCTAATTTTTATTTTATTTTGAAATAATTGAGTTCTACTGTTAAAAAGTCTTTATTTTATACAAATAAAAAATAGATTTTAATGAAAATGTTAAATTTCTATATAAAATAATGGTATTAATAATAATTTAAGCGTTAGAGAATCTGGTATGGACAAACTAAAATTACTAAATATACAAAAAGGTGTGTTAATAAAATAAAAATAAATAAAACTAAAGTGATGAAAAGCATTCATGATGTAAATCTCAGTGTCTTCATTTTAGATAATACCAGGTGTAGTCAAAGGGTCTGTGATCCGACCAAACCACGTAGTCCTTGACAAAAGACAATAATTGCCTTGTTAGTACAAATTTATTACTTGCATAAAAAAGGCGTACCATTTTATCACACATAAAATAGAATATTTCTCATATTTAACCAGAAGAAAGATCATCGAATACAAATATCTATGGAATGATCAACAATGACTGAAATAGACTTTGCTCGTTTGGTTGGCAATATATTTAAGAAATTGGAATTTTTATCGTCTGTTATCACTAGGGTCAAAACAAACTAAAAATTAAATAACATGATTAATTTTTTGACTATATTTAAATTCGTTTTCTATAATAATATGAAAACGAGAAGAGAAATAAATGAATTTAATCTGAAGGTTTTCCAATTTCATTATTGAATACTGTGCGTCTGTTCGTTCTGTAGCTACGGGGTATCCGTGAGAGGGGAAACGATATTCTCTCGATGTTTTTCGTAAAAAATTAGACGACGCGTCCAATCAATAAATATTCGACAAATTTGCAAGTAGCCAATAAAATGAGTGGGCTGAGCGATTTGCGGTGACGAAGTCGTCAAGTTGACGTATAAAATATATTGCTGTTTATTTAAATGTTTTTTTTACGCATTCCTTTCATAGACACAGATCCAGCAGACGTACTGTAAGTGAGGTATGCAATATTACTACCAATATTACTTACTATACACAGGGTTTCCCAGAAATAAGTGCAAGTATTTTAACTGGTAGTATAGTTATATCCCAGAAATAACTTAAACAATACTTTATACATCTTTTTTACATGTAAAATATATAAAAAATGTTTATTGCACAAATTGTATTTCTCTGATTATAATTCCCTACGCCACTGGAGAAATCCAGTCTGAGTAGCATTATTTATAGTTTCAAACATTAATTATAATAGTTTTTTTTTTCTTTTTCTTAAACCTTTAGAATTATATCCATATATTTTTTTTTCCTTTTCTTGGGTATGAGGTTTTTTTTATTAATTGAAAAAGGAAAATTGAAAGTTGAATTGAAATTGAAGATGGAAGTTTCCATTTTCAATTAATAAAAAAAAACCTCATACCCAAGAAAAGGAAAAAAATATATGGATTAATTATAATATAGGATATTGAAAATACTACTTGGAAATAATAAAAATAGTTTGCTTTGAATGTGGCACAGGACATATTAAAAACATTTTACAAAATTGTGTATCGATTTTTACCTGTGAAATGTAATTCCAGCTACTTTTTTGTCGCTTCAGCTTTTGCAGCCATACGTTGAACATCTCATCATACTAAACAACACAGTTTATAAATTTAAAACAAAAGAGTAGTCACAAAAAACATGAAAATTCGATCAGAAATCTTGTCACCAAAGCATGGCGGCAGATCGAATTTTGGCCTCAAAAACAGATCACTGGAGAATATGCGTGTTACCCGTCCCCACGTGCCACCTCCTGGGCGCCATATCTAACCTGCAACCTAACCTCTAATTATATGTATCTGCTATCTATCAGACACCCGTTTTCTAATGTTAGGTAAGTTTTTTACTTTTAATCTGAATTTTCAAAGTCGTTTTTAAATATTTCTAGTCGATGTGTCAATATTGGGCGTGGAACAAGCTCAGATTCTTGTAATTGCTTGGTATTTAGACCTGGTTATTGTTTGCTGCCGGCGGCTCTCATACCTAATGTTGCCATTATTTTTTAAATTTTCAAAGTTAAATAATTCGGTTATTATCAATTTATTTTAAAAATGGTAAAGGGAAAATATGTTTCTTTTGGCCAGATCTACCACCCTTTAAAATACTGGCATTTATTTCTGGGACACTCGGTATTTTAAAACTGAAATTAATAAGTTGTTGTAAGTTCTACATATTTTATAAATTTATAAAGCAAATAATACATTTATAGGAGCTTATCATATTGTTCCATCTTCCTTTGTTACTTCCTGGTTAATAAAAATCTGAAAGAAAAAGTCTTGATCCACAATTTGTGTAAGCATTACACAAGTACCTAACAGCCACTAGTAATAAAATCCTCTAACACGGCATTTCCAACTATTTCAATCATTGTTGATAGCTCCGTACTATGATTAGTTTATTGTGTATGAAATATCATAATGTTCAAGTGTAAAGTGTAGGCTAAAATATGAATTAATAAATGTTGTTAATATTAACCTTTTAGAAGAATAATTTTTCTGTCATCGGCCACTTTTGGCCAAGCATCTTTTGGCCAAGCATCTTTATGCTTGGTCATAATACTTTTGAATTAAACTGTGATTGATATTTTTCAATCTGAATTCTGTGAGAGTTGAGTGCCCCCTTCCCTTAAAATGTTAGTATGTAATAATTATTATCAGCATCATACTAAAAGTTTTCAAAGTACTACTTCTTAATAATCACTTATTAACAAAAAAAATGTGCAGTAGCTTACTAAAAATGGTACATTTAGCTTATACAGGCGTACTACCACAAAGCGAATTAAAAAATTCTGGACAGTATATTTATACGATCATTATATAATACAGGGTGGTGCGAAATCGGGAAACTTCGACAACATATTCTGTAAATAATAACAAGTAAACAGTTCTTATAAATGTATGTATATTTTTAAATGTTTTATTTCGCAGATACAAGGTGTAGAAGTTCCATTTTTATTTCGGAATTTCCCAATTTACTTCTGATACCATGGATTTGGATGAAAATTATGTATGGGTGGTTATTAGCTACAAAACAGTTAAGAAACACATAAGTGGTGCCCCCTACGAGTAGGAGTCATACCTACTAACATCGAAATCGAATTTATAATGTAGAAACCATTCAGACATGAATTTTCATCCAAATATCGACGTTAATTCAGACAGAATTTGGAAAAAACAAAACAAAAATGAAGTTTTTACACCCTGTATCTTCGAAACGAAGCATTTTAGGACATAATATATTTATACAAACTTTTTCTCTATGTTTTACTGTAGTATATGAATGGTTTGCAAAGTTCCCCGATTACCATTCATACCACCTTGTATATTATTTATTCAGCTATTTTTATAAAGCAATCTGGTACATTTTCATGTTTAAAAATGTTTGTTTGAACATCCACCAAAAAAAAAAGAATTTTATTTACTAAAACTACGTTGATTACTTACCTGTACGATAGATGGCTTAATAGTCGGCACCGTGGGAGTATAGGCAGGTGTCGGTATAGTGGGAACGTAGTACGGCTTCGATGTTGCTGTTTTTAGTACCGCTGTTTTCGGTGGGAGTTCGCTACGGTACCGGGAACTGAACCGACTCGAATTTGATTTCTTTATAGGTAACGGGGTCTGCGAAATAATAATAATTAAAAGGAAAGCCCAATTATTAGAACTAGCAGTAAAACTAACTTAAGATAATCTAATGTTAAACTGGAAATGTTCTATAACCTAAAGTTAACAGTTAGCTAAAGTCGGAAAAGGCCAATATCGATTCTGAAATTCAGTACACAATTAGCAGCCCATCAAGAGCATTCTGGAAATTAAAAGACCAGACTTTACTTGAGCACCAAAACGATACTTGCAGTGTACCGAGCAATAATAATCCCCATCATGTTATATGGGAACGAAACCTGGGTGCCGTACCGCCAGCATATGAACGCATTAAATAACTTGCAACAGAGACACCTTAAACAACTGTTAAGAATCAAATGGTACCACCATGTCTCAACGAGAGCGCTGAAGCCGTTATTAAGGCCCGCTTAAGATGGGCGGGTCACGTATGCAGAATGCAAGGAGCTTGTAGACGGTCAGAGGAAACCGGGTGGACAACTCAAAAGGTACAAGGATATTTTCCACGAAAACTTAAAGGAGATAAGTATGCAGAATTAGTGGTAGGAAGCAGCACAGAACAGTACACAATGGAGAAGAATTATAAACTCAGTTAACAACGACAACCAAAAAGCAAAGAGGCTACGAAGTAATGTGATTTTTGAGTGTCCGGAGTGCGGAAGAGAGATAACATCCCGTATCGCGCTTTTAAGTCACAGGAAAGCTCATGAAAGAAAACGCGTTGCGTAACCATCTCCTGATGCGTGTCAAATACTCGTCAGCGAGTAATACCAGTAGTAGTAGTAAAGTACGTCTACTGGATCTGTGTCTATGAAAGGAATACGGACAAAATCATTTAAATAAACAGCAATTTATTTTATAAATCGCTACCTAAATAGAAGCGGCATAGATAGAGTCCACGTAGACTTGATGAGTATGTCACCGAAAAATACTCCGCCCACTCATTTCATTGGCTACTTGCAACTTTGTCGCATTATTAATTGATGGGACGCGTCGTCTAATTTTTTACGTGGTGCAAATATTTTAGGAGTAGTATATTTCCACTCAAAAAATACACCTATTAGGGTTTTTTCGCGAAAGGAATTTTTTGAAAATTTGGAGTTCTTGAAAAATGTTTTAAATTTTTAGTTAAAAAACAGAATATCTTCATAATATGGCAACATAGATAGCAGATTAAATTTACAAGAAGGAAAACCCAGAAAAGATCGAGTGGTTCTCGAAATTTAACCGAAAATCATTTTTTTTCTGGAAATTTTCAATGTAAAATATCTAGGTTACTTTGGACTTATTTGAAAAATGGTTTAGGAAATATGTTTCTTTTATCGAAATCTACCAGCCCTGAAAATATTTGCGCCTATTTAAGAACCCTGTATAGACAATGGTTTTAACTTAAACTCAACAGTTAAATAGTGATAGATTTTAAGTCGAGGGAGCGTCTATAAATTAAGTGAGGACATTGTTTGATAGAAGTTATAAATCATATAAGAACTACCATCAAGCAGTAAGATATGTGGCAACAACGTGAGGACTGCGCAACAGCTCGAAGACTGTGGCTGGTGGTAGATAGCAAAAAGACCAAAGAACTAGTAGAACACAAAAACAACCTAGTATGCAGAATTGTAGGTGTCGTTACTGGAAACTGCCCCACGGGAGTAAACCTCGTAAGATGGAAGATTTCCAACGATGATTTCTGCAGAGAATGCGGAGAGGAAGAAGAAACCATAGAGCACCTGCTGTGCCACTGTCTGTCACTTGAAAACCGACGCTTTAAAACTTTTTTTGAGAACGGTTTTTTGGAGGGACTAGGGGAAGCAGCAAAAGCCAACATCAGCGGCATCGAGAACTTTGCAAACAGCTGGAAGTGCTGGAACGCAAAGAAAGAATGAGAGGAAGGTTTGGTATTGCGATACAGGGGTATCGCAAATCGCAAATCGGGTCCAAGGCATTCGAGTATTCCGAATGAAAACCTTAACCTGAGCTATAAATCAAATAAAAAAATCCTTACACAGATGCTTTACAAAAAAAATACTCACAGACTCGATATGTTTTGTGAGATCTTCTTCTCCGTTGTCCTTTTTTCTATTACTGTAACTTCCTTTAGTCAACAAACTTTTCGAACTCTTTCCTGTTGTTTCGGCCTCGAGAGATTTGAACTCTTTGCGTACAAATTTGGCAGAAAACTTCGACTCTCTCGTTATTGGAGTGGTTGAAGGCGGCACCGCTGTTGATCTTAGGGCTTTCCTTTTCGCATGGTGCTCATGGGGTGCCTTGGTAGAATACAATTTCGGCGTAAAAGATTTTCGGGGGTACGCTGTCGGTTTGGTATGTTTCTCTTCGAATTTTTTCGTTCTTTCGGTGGTCGGCTTGTAAAAGCGATCTTTCGATTTGGGCGTGAATTTTGGTTTTTCCGAATATTTTGACGGGCGAAACCTGGATAGAGTTGGGGTAAGCGGAGTGGTGGTAATGACGGTTTTCGGGTCTAGTTCGTTTTCGATGTCGTTAACCTGAAATAGATAAATGGTTAATGAGCATATTACGTCTAAATATCCTAAGGAAATGACGATCGATGACATTCCCTATTTGCATTTCCAACGGCAACGTACTGAATGATGTTATAGTTTTAAAACATAATACAAAGTGATTAAAGTATATTTTGTTCTTGTGGGCCGATTATGGATGATTTTTAAGCAATCTGTAGCTAAATTATTTGACTTTTTAAATTAAAACTGAAAGTTCCCATCTGTTAGGGCTCGAACACACTGACGACCAGGTCGCACCGGCCAGGCCGCTGCTACCTCTAAAACCGTTAAATCAAATGATACCGCGCATACTAACGTCCTGGTCGTCCGTTTGTCTAAAGTATTGTAATTTTCTGCCGCTTGTTGCCGGTTTTCTTCCAAATTAATAATTTTTCAGATGAAATCCCTCAAATTCAACGCACAATATTTTATTTTTTATAAGATGTGTAGTTTTTGCACACGTACAGAAAATCCAAAGAAATAGTATACAGACTAGATCAAAGGGAAACTACTTAAATCTAGTCCCTTTTTTTATCAAGGGTCGGTTCTAGTAAAAATTCAATACATTTTTATATGACATACTCTATTTATGGTTGGTATGATACCTGTTATTATACCTCCGAGTTTCGATGTTAAAAAATCATTTAAAGTTTTTCTACAACCACTTTTTTTTTATTAAATTATTTTTTTAGTTGTATTGTAGTCATGTACAGCATTTTAGTGGGTCATCACTAAAATGCTGTACAAATGTTAAGTTAGCATTTTTCCCATGGTCTTTTCCTTCTTAGTCAAGCTCATAGGTTCCAGTCGTAGATTCTAATTCTAATAAAGTCGTAATTCTTATAATTTATAGAATTAATGGAGATAGAAACAAGAGTTTTACTTTCCAAAATCACAAACATAAATCGTCCAAATGACAACGAAACTTTCATTATCAAGTTCAACACACTTATTAAATTTAAATTATTTTTTAAAACCATATGCTGTGACTCGGATTTCTTAATTTACATTGCACACATATAAAATTATCTACCATCTGTATGCTATTATTATAATAACAACACACACTCTAATATTCGCGCTATTAACAAACATCTTTCAATGTCAGCATTACGGATTCATGTATTCCAAACGGATTTTCGGAATTAACCGCGCCCAACGAAAAGCTTAATCTCTAAAAATGTCTTCATAAACAGAAGAACAAGATCAAGTGATCTTTATTCAAGGCATACGTAATGGTATTTCTGGTCGAACAGGATGAATGCAATACGGAGATAAAAATGAAGATAATTGGCTACACGTTGACCCTAACTTTAATTTTTTAAAGCAAGTTGTTAAAAGAGAAAGTAAATTTTGCAAATACATATACTATACGTCAATAATAAGATTTTAGGTTTGTACTAATATGATTAAACATGAATATGTTAAGAGATCAAAATTGAATAAGGATTTGAAAAAATTGTTATAGCTAACTTATTTCTAATCTTGTGGGATGGACATAGTACGGATCAGTGGTAAACAGGTGGTAGGTATTGATTGACAGAGTAATAGGGAACGATTGTAGGGTTGCCAACTTTCAAAATAAAAAGTAGAGGAAGAGAGAGTAAAAAAGAGGCACAGGCGAAACATTTTTTGAAACCTTGCCCAAATGTCTAGAATTTACCAAAAAGTTATGTAAACGGTATGCGACTGATGGCATGGTCTTTGTCACTTTCCTAAATATATTTATATTCAAAACTATTTAAAATTCAGCAAACTCTTTTCAACAATTTTTTTAACAGTAAGTACAGTACGTCTGCTGGATCTGTGTCTATGAAAGGAATGCGGACAAAAAACATTTAAATAAATAGCAATATATTTTATACGTTGATTTGACGAGTGCGTCACCGCAAATCGCTCCGCCCACTCATTTTATTGGCTACTTGCAAATTTGTCGAATTTTTATTGATGGGACGCGTCGTCTATTTTTTTACGAAAAACATCGAGAGAATATCGTTTCCCCTCTCACGGATACCCCGTAGCTTCAGAACGGACAGACGTACTGTATATATATGTTACGGTTAAAGTCCGATGTCCGGTTGATGTCGACATTAACATGTTAATGTTTGGTTTAGGTTATGTTTTTAGTTGTTTTGTTGTGTATTATTCTGGAGATTAACCGGGTAATGTCGACATTAACCGGACATCGGACCTTAACCGTAACATATACATAAAATAGTTAAACTTGTTTATTGCGTAACGATTGCAGGGTTGCCAACTTTCAAAGTAAAAAATAGGGGATGAGAGGGTAAAAAAGAGGCACAGGCGAAACATTTTTTGAAACCTTACCCAAATGTCTAGAATTTACCAAAAAGTTATGTAAACGGTATGCGACTGGTGGTCTTTCTTACTTTCTTAAATATATTTATACTCAAAACTCAAAACAGTCAATATACATAAAATAGTTAAACATGTTAATCGCGTCCGCCAATATTTCTTGTACATAAATATTTTTGCATTTTCTTCTCTGTATAAACGAGTGGGAGTAGCGAAAGACACAGATTAACAAGTTTTTAAGAATTTTGGCGATAGACGAATATTTTTTAGATTTTGAGATTGAGAATACATGAGAGAAAAGAGGACAGTAAGATCAAAAAAAGGATTGTCTTCTGGAATAGAGGACGGTTGGCAACCTTAAACAATTGAAACCTATTTTTGAAACCACCGTATTTTTGTTTACATTTCTAGTCAAGTATTTTCTATATACACACACTGCACTGGTACGAAAAACTGGCACTTTAAACTTTTGGCATATCTTAAAATTTAATATATTTTGTTCTAGTAGGCCAATTTTGATTATTTTTAAGCAATTTGAAGCTAGATTATTTGACTTTTTAGTGTCTCTTTCTAAACTAAAAATGAAAGTTTCCATTTGTCAATTATACGAGTGAAAACAAAATGTTGATATTTTGGTGAAAATTTAAAAAACCCTGTGGAATATATAAACAAAACAAGGAAATTTTATCATATAAGTACCTACATCTTTTTCCGATAGGTTATTTTTTGATTCAACTCAATAGCTTTGTTCTTATTGGAGATATTCGCTTTTAAATAAGACAGTAAAGATTTACAGCAATTTTATCATTGATTTTGGGCCCTCATCAAGACACTTATAAAATAGTGTTTATTGATTTTGTAACTGTTATTAAAAAGTCACATTATTGTTGTTTATTGGCGTTTACTCTAGTAGAGATCTTTCTTCATGTGAAACTTCTTCATCTGAAACATCTTTGGAGGATGATACTCGTATTCAATACTGGCAGTAGTGATACTGAGAGTTTTTCCAATAACAGGGGTCATGAATGGGACCAAGACTCAAAAAATCAACATCAAGACCAAGATCAAGACTCCAGACTCCAGACTTGAGCCAGAAGTTGAATTGAACAAATATTATACGGTTTACTACGATTCAGGGTGGTTCATTGGTTTTTAGTTTTGAAGTATCGGCTATTGCTACTTTAATTGATCACTGTAGTGATTAACTTTTGGACTTGAAAACTATAGGTCTGTTCTCAGAAGAATCCCTGACTAGTCAGCACGTTTCTCATTGGTTAAAATGCGTAGAAACCTGATTAATAGTCTGGTTTCTACACATTTCAACCAATAAGAAACGCGCTGACTAGTCAGGGATTCTTCTGAGAACAGACCTTATATCTACTAGAAGTAACTGCCCAACAGATAATAATAATATGATTTTTCAAAGACAGTGACAGTGACAGTGACAAAAAAATCATAAACACTATTTTATAGGTCTGTTGACTAGGACCAAAAACAAAGGTATAAATTATTAATGTTAAAAATTCTCAAGAAATGTTAGTATATCCTTCAAAAGCGAATATCTCGGCGAATATCCCCACAAAAAATAAAGCTATTGATTGATTATAAAAATTGAATTAATCTATATGTTATTAATGAAAAAAAATATATAAATATTTTTTTCAGACGTCATTTTTGGTGACGTGATTGACAATATTTTAACGCCTAACTAAGCCCAAAAGTACGAAAATATATTATTAAACTGACATATAAAGTGCCAAATTCAACGAGCGTAACCATAGTTTCTCGATATATAATTACTTACAAGGTATTACTTTTAAATATTTTTATATAATTTCCAACGTTTGAAATTGTTTAAAAAATTATTTGTGAAGTTTGAAAAAAAAATAGCATGTTCTATTCGGAGTAAAAATGACTTTTTAGCCTCGCCTGTAATGTCAAACGTACAGCCTCGCCACAAAAAGTGTCATTTTTACTCCTATTAAAACAATATACTATTATTCAACTAATAAGAAACATTTAAAGCATTTAATAGAAAACCTAACTAATACAAAAAGTACACTCTATCCTTATTGCTATATATCCTGTATTACACATCCTATAGAACTATTAAAACCGATAATTTACATTTAATTCATTCAAACCAGAACACTCTGTATATGGTATTGCGTGTTTTAATATAAATTGTCGAGTTACATTACCCGCCCTGCAGCTATTTAGAATTGTTTTTTATTCAGTTCAACTACGAAAGGCGTGTCAAGTATTATACGGAAAGAAACATATTTTGCGTTATATACGGAAAAGTAATATGGAACAACAATTCGTTATACTTAACTAAATAAAGAAATTTGAAGTAAAATTTACATGTGCATTGTTTAAGTATTTCCGGTGGTTTTCACTATCTACATTTACTAGATTTGCTACTAAAATATCTTCTATTAGGTATTGTAGGTTATAATTCATTTTTATACTGGGTAAAAATATTTTAAATGGTGTAGTTTAAAATTCGGGAAAATACTTTTTTGGAAAAATATTTGTGCGTCTGGAAACCTTCTATCCTCTTTTTTTTAAGTTTTATGCCAATATTTAACAAATGACATCTAGATATTGACCTCGCTAAAATTATCATCAATTATAATTGATGATAATTTTAGCTTAAAGGTATGTAT